TATGATACATATTTTTGACATGAAAAAGAAATAGACTGAAATATTGAAATTTAATAATTATTAAAAACAAAATAAATTAACTTAACTTACTTCTTAAAATGAAAAATAACCTCGTTATTTCACGTTAGTTAAAAAATAAAATTAGTAAGTTAACTGTTAAGTTAATGAAAAGCCAAAAGTATCAATTGTGATAAATTATTTCAATCTTAATTAAAAATTATTGTACCTATTTATATATTATAACTTGTGAAAATATTTTTTATATTACAATAATCCTATGGGGGTGGGTCGGTATAATTTATTGTTCATTACCACACCCAAAAAAATTTAGTTCGTCGCCACTGCAGGTTAAAACGCGTGCCTACCTATACGCTAGCGTCTAAAAACGCGTGGTGTGTAAACAGCTTAACACCACAAACCAAAATCGATTTTGGGTACAAATTCCTGTTTTTCCTAAATTCTAGATTCTGAGCGGAGCGATGAATGTATTTGTCTTACAATGATGTATGTTTTTTTTAATCACGTCATCAATCACGTTTTAGGACAGTAAAAATGCTTAGATTTTCTTCAATAGTACCTTTTCTGATGGTAAAGTGAATCTAGTTTGTACTTGGGGGGGGGCTCAAAAGTAAACATTTTTCAGTAACTCTCAAAAGTTCCGGAAAAAACAGATGAAAAATTAAGAGAAAAATGAGAATTTTTACGCAAAACCGATTTTGGTTTTTGGTGTAGGTAACTAGAAAAGAAATGACCATAGATACATGAAATTTTAATTGAATATTTATGTTAGCATTTTCTATACACCATACCGTTTTCAAAATATTTTGATTTATTTTGAGCTATTTATGGAAAATTTCAGTTTTCAATTATTTTAGGTTTTTTTTCTATAAATATCAATAAAATTTTATTTGTTGGGTACAAAATCTTGAAAATTTAATAGAAGGCTCCAAATATACTGTTTCAAAGGCAGATGAAAAATATTAAAAATCCGTAGTCACCACTTTTTTTTCTAAGCATTTAAAGTTGAAATTTTGACAAAATATGTAAAAATGACGAAAATTTGCAAATTATTTTGAGTTAGTAATTCATAAAAATTTTTCTTTTTAAATCCAAGATTTTTAAATGTAACTCAAGATTCAATGGCCTAGGACCTACAGAACTGTCAATAAATTGCATTTTTATTACCCAATAATTGATAAGCTTTTGATATTAAATTAAATTTATATTGTTCGGTACTTAACAATATAATTTATATATATTCACCAGTCAAAATGTCAATGCTATAGTGGTATAATATAACGTGAAATAACTTTATATTACTGAAAATTCCCTATGTAGGCCTTTTTCATAATTGTGTGCTATTATTTTAGTGAACAAAATTTAGGTCTTTAATAGTAATAATTTGATATCAAATGAAAATTGACCCAGTGCCGTCGACGCAAATCGAGAATTCGGGAATTAAAAAAAAATATATTGTACATATTTTTTGTATGTACCTATATTTAGTTGGTACAGGACTTTTTTTCCTATAGGCAGTGCTTTGTTTAAGGTAATTTTATATCGGGGCTTTTTTAATGACAAATCGCAGATAAAAAGTTCCAGGAAAATGAGTCCCGACAACAAATGTCCCACACCATGAAAAGGTAAATTAATTTAAAAAAAGTGTGAAATAATACAATTCAATAAAATAATAAATACAATAGTACCTATATAATTAATAGTTAAGATTTAAGAAGTTAAATAATTATTTAATGTACAATATTTAAGATGATGTCAGCGCACTATTTGTTTTCTCGCCCACCAACACGAAACATAGACAAAACGAATTTACACAAAAGCATTTTTTCTATGTTTTTATGTAATCTAGAGTAAAATCACTGATTACAAAAAAAGATAGATAATAATATTTTTGAGGGAATGACATATCGATCTTATATTTTATTGTTATTTGACTTTGTATTAGACTTTCAAAATAAATAAAATAATGTTGTAAATTTAAATGATGTTTAAATTGTTTTGAGACAATATACCTAATTATAATGTAGACTGTAACCAATGGCAACTATAAATAAATAAAAATAAAATTTCCAATTTCTATCGTGAATCTCAATGTCCCTGTTTCAGCACCTATTTAAAATGCGAATTTTGGCAAATCCTTTCTTAGCGCACGTCTACATCATAATAGCTATCTGTATGCCAAATTTCAGCCAGATCCGTCCAATGGTTTGAGCTGTGCTTTGATAGCAGTCAATCAGCTTACTGTTTTATATATACAGATTGGCATAGATAATAAATTACCGGTGATTGTTCTCTATGTTATCACATTACTTCTCAATTTCTCAATTTCATAAACCTTTTTTGTTTTTTTTTTTTTTAAATTAAAATATTCAATGTTATTTGTTTATAATATTTATTATTTATATTTGAATTTATTTATTTATTATTAATAAATAAACATTAGTACCCATTTGTTTAATAATCTTATAAAATAAAGAATAATTTGTTAAGATTATAATCATTTAAATTTGTTTAACTGCTCCATCATAATCTCCTTTAGTTTTAACTATCCCATTTGTAATTTGTGAAAAGTCAGCTATAACTTGTTTTCTACTATGTTTGGTAAAAGTTAAAAGTTATAATCTTGTATTCTTGTTAGTCAATAGTAATAATATTTGAATGAAAAATGAAATGTTTTGTTTACAACACATATTGATAATATTGATATAATTATATTAATTAATACATTAATCTATCAATCTATGTTTTAACATAGGTAATATTAATACTTTGTTATGTTAAATATATGGGTACCATAGTTGTTAGCATATAATGGTAGTCATAAAAATAATAGGCCTGTAGTAAATACTTTATAAACAAAGGGACCATAAAGTAATAGGTGATAATCAGCCATCAGGTACCTATTCTAGCATTGCAAAATTTGAGAAAAAAATTAAGTGCCCCCCCCCCCCCAAAAAAACAATTTTCTGGCTACGGCACTGTATAGTAGTAAATAGTTGATCCGTTGAAAGCCATTTCTCTTTTTTAGGGTTAAAAACTTCAACTGTCAAACTATGATTTTTACAAGTAGGATCAAATATATTGTATCCGTATAACCGTAGATTCTTTAAATTTTCATAAAATGTTTATATGGTCATTTTTGTACTTAATAAAATGTTCTAAATGTTTCGACTTTTTTTGAGCATTTATAGACATGAGAAGTTGTTGGTATTTTTTTTTTTATTATTAAATATTCCCGCCGATGAATACATTTTTGCTCGGTTAAAAAACTCGTAAATCCTTATAAGTCGTTATTAGTGTATTTTAAAAAAGAATCAATATAATATAATAAATTCACAATATTTTTTCAAAATTCACAAACATTTGCATATTATTTTGAGTTGGTAATTTATATAAGTATATAACAACCTTTTATTAAAATAAATATTGGTGATCGCCCCAAAATAACAACTTCCACAAGACAACACGCCGCTGCCTGGGACAGCCCATCATCACTAAAAACTAAAATATATCGAAGGTCGTTCTACGTGTGAGATTCGGGATTCCAATATTATTTTTTGAACACGGAGAAATAATGTAGTTACTGACAATTATTATTTACGATAACGATAGTACCCAGTAGACGCAGTAATTCCAATTTTTTCGTCTTTCTTCACTATAATTAATATTATTGCACTCAACCCACCACAAAGGCACAAACATATTAAGTTTCAAATACTTGCAGGGTTTAAAAATGTTTAGATTTAATTGTTTAAATCTGTGTTATTAAATACCTACCTATAATAATACAAATAATATATCGCAGTGAAATAGAATATTTGACTGTGTATTAGCCATTAGGTATGGTCAAGTGTACGTGATATTGCAATCTATAATATAAACGTTAAGTTTCAACATAATATTTAGCTTAAAATGGTTATGGGTAGAAACTAAAAACCGATTAAACGATAAACAGCTAATATTAAGATAAAATTATTGTCATAAAATGTGCCAGGCAGCAGTTACTTGGTACGTAAACTGAAATAATATCAAAATATAGGTAATAAATCATAGCGATAAATATGTCAATCTTTCACCTGGGTCACTGAGTGAAATTGGGAAATTTTACTGTGATCGACTGGGAATTTTCATTTTAATATAAATCATGATACTAGATGACCTTGACACGTGTACCTTACTCATACATCAATGAATTAGCCAAAAAGGTACCTACGACCTACCTATGTGGCTATGTGATAAGTTGTTCCTACTTAAACTTAATACTGTGTTGTACAATTTAGTTTATAATACGGAATGGGTTTATAAACGGAAACAATAACAAGCAAATGCTTATAGTATGGCAATACTATTAATTAATAATTGGACAAACCGTCAAAATTGAAATTCCGGAAGTCGATCAAAATCAATTTTTGCAGTAATATTTATTTATTACTAATAATACAAACTTGTGTACTGTATATCTATAATATACTATTAAGTATAGTAGCTAATGTATAATACCTACTTAAATAGATGCCTACCTAATATTTCTAAATAATAAAAAAAACGAGTAAGGAGAAAAAAATCACACAATAATTGTTAAACAATTATGAACTTCCACCAACCCTAGTTGTTTATCCTAAGATTTACCAAATCTCATTTGTGAAAGTCCGAAGTACAAAAATTATTCGGTGTCATTGGCGCAAATAGACCTGAATTTTGGGGGTGTACAAGTAGTGAAGAGCTCACAGCATAGGCTTAGCCCCCCCTAGTTTAATTTAAGCCCCCCCCTATTTTTTTAAAATAATATATTCATTCTTTAATCCATAATCAGACATAGATATAACATAGATTAAATAATTAGTTTTACTAGTATATCATCTTATTATGTAATCTATGGTAATACGATTAATATTAATAATTTACAAAATATATAATATAATATAATATATAACTGTATTATTACTAACTTAAAAAAAAGATTTTCACCCGAAAGTTTACAAATGGCGTCATCAATTGATAGTTTTCATAAACTGAATTATGATGACAGTAAATATTTCATCGAACATTATAAAGTAAATATTTTATTGTTTAAGATTGAATTTATATATTTTGTTACATTTAGATAAATTTACCTATTGTTTCATTTTTAGGGTCTAGTAAATGTGGATATAGATGCTCTTCGTTCAGAAATGTTGGTTGCAAAAATCTGCCTTACTGCACGTACCAAATTGAATTTTGATTTAGAGGAATTAAAATTAGTTGCAGATTTCAAAATATATCCAAATTTATATACTTTTTTATCTTTGTCTCTCACTATACCAATTTCTTCTAGTACATGTGAAAAGTATTTTTCAGCTATGAGGAAGATAAAAAATTGGTTACGCACGTCTATGCTTCAAGATAGATTTTCTAATGCTTCTGTTGTATATATAGAAAAAGACATTTCTTGTAGTTTAAAAAATGAAGATTTACTAAATGAATTTGCCATGTCTAATCGCCGTTTACAGTTATAACATATAATTATAATAAGAAATAAACAATTCATTTTCATTGATAAATGTTGAGTTGTATTGTATTTGATTTTATCAATTATTTTGTTTTTAATGAGGAGTACCAAAAAATATGTTTGCGTATTACATTATAGTCTTGAAAATGATTAGCGGTAAGGGGGTGTGGGGGCGGAGCCCCTGCGTGTCTCTGTTGCTTTTATAAATTTAGCCCCCCTAAAACAATTGTCCAAATTGCGCCTATGGCTCACAGACCTGTGGGGGCAAACTGCCCACACCCCCCGACCCATTAGTTTTCACATTACATTTATAAAAAAAAAAAGGTGGGCAAGTGGGTGTCGCTTTGCTGTACAGTAGGTTACAAGTGGGTCACTGTATAATGGATGATATTAAATTTGAATTCAACGATATAATATCATTGTATAAGAAAAACGATTCTGAGCGGAAACGGTAGTCTATGGTACTAAACCAAAATTTGACCTATAATAGGTACCTATAATAAATTCCAAATTAATCATATCACAATATCCATTGGGTACTTATAACGCGTTATACATCAACAAAAACCGTGATACTATCATAGATATATAATAGTACACTTTAGAAGTTTCAAGTACCCACGAATAATATTATTCAATCACAACAAAATAACTAAAATAGTTATTCTAGGTTTTTTAATATGGAATTTGGTCCAAATTTGAATTTCAAATGTCTGTAAAAAATAACTGTGTTCATATGTTTTTTAGATTTGTTGGTTACAGTATGAACTATTTATGAGAACCTTTGTTTTAAATTCGCAATCCTTAGCTATAAAAACTGAACATTTTATAATTTATTAATTACAATGATTGATAATTTTCGAGATTTTGATAAATTTTGTCAAAATTCAATCTTTAAATGATTATAAAAAAAAACTGTGCCTATATATTTTTAATATTTTTCAACTGATATTGTAACAATATATCAGGAGCCTTGTATTAAATTTTTACACTTTTTGGCCCAACAAAAATATAACTTTATAGATATTTATTGAAAAAAAAATTGAAAGCTGTAAATGTCCGTAAACAGCTCAAAAAGAGTCAAAATATTTTCAAAATTGTGTGGTGTATAGGAAATGCTAATATAAACATTCTTAACATTTTTATATAAATATTCAGTGAAATTTTCATGTACCTACAGTTATTCGTTTTTGAATAACAACAAAATAAGGAAATCGCTACATGAGAAATTGAGTGAATAGCCAATGTTGTAAAAATTTGAATTTCAAACGCTCATAAAAATTTAATTTGACTGTCCGGTAGAGATTTTTTTATTGATAAAGGTAGACAAACTTATGAGTAATCTTGTATTAAATTTTAAAATCTTAGATTTAAAAAGAAAAATTTTTACGAATTCTTAACTCAAAATAATTTGGTAATTTTCGTGATTTTTCGATATTTTGTCAATTTTTGAACTTTAAATGCTTATAAAAAAAAACTGTGACTAACGATTTTTAATATTTTTCATCTGCCTTTGAAACAATATACTAGGAGCCTACTATTAAATTGTCAAGTTTTTTTAACCAACAAATACAATTTTATTGATATTTCTAGAAAAAAAAACAAAAAAAAAAATGAAAATGTCCCTAAACAGTTCAAAATAAATCAAAATATTTTGAAAATGTTATCATGTATAGAAAATGCAAATATAAACAACCAGTGAACATTTCATGTATCTACGGTCATTTGTTTTAAAGTTACACCAAAAACCAAATTCAATTTTCTGAAAAATCGATTTTGCGTAAAAATTCCCGTTTTTCCTTAATTTTTCTTTTGTTTTTCTTGGCGCTTTTGAAAAGTACTGGGAATTTTAAATTTTGACCTCCCCAATGCACCAACGATATTCACTTTCCAATCGAACAAGATACTGAAGTCGAAAATCGAAGCATTATTTCGACTACTTATCGTGTACACAGACACAAAAAAAATAAAAAAACACACATCATTGTAAAATCAATACATTCATCGTTCCACTCAGAATCTAAAATATCTGCTAATGTAAATATAATCCCACCAAAAACATATATGTAAAATGAGAGCCAAGTTCAGTACTATAATATATGCCTTGGTTGTTGACTTCAACGACAAAAGAAGTGAGATCTAAATGGGTGCCAAATTATTATAATATATTGAAGCCTAAGGTGTGACTTGGCTACTTTTCATATACGAATTATTATTATAAGTACCTACTAAAACAGTAATGGAAGAGTGAAGATGATTTTCCGAAGAATAAAATAAGAACTCAAAGCTTTAGAACTTGCCACGCTATAATTGTATATAATTCGTAGCCAAGTCAGACCTTAGGCTTCAATATATTATAATAACTTAGCACCCATTTAGATCTCACTTCTTTTGTCGTTGAAGTCAACAACCAAGGCATATATTATAGTACTGAACTTGGCTCTCATTTTACATATATGTTTTTGGTGGGATATCATTACTTTTTGTATGTAAATTATTATAACCTAACCTAACCTAGCCATGACGTATTCTATAAATAAAGTTTATTACTATATAATATAACTCAGTTACTAATATTAATAATAATATTTATTATAAAATATTTTCCGTTGTATATACAGAGTATAAAATATATGTAAAATTAATATACAATTATTTTAACTCTTTTTGAGTATATTTTTAATTATCATAATTTTATTGACTGTAGTTTCTACTGTTGGGTGGATAATTCATAATTTGTAAGAATAATTATTTAATTATTTTAATTGTAATATTTAAAAAAAATAATATTAATTACATACATAGATAGAAAAAAAAGTATGTTGTTTCGCGCGGGTCGACAATATCGACACATATTCGGCTAGTCGTATTTTTGGAGCGGCGATACGGGAAAGGTAATTTAAGTCAACATTACATTACATTACATTACATTACATTAAATTAGAGGCAATTCATTAATAAATTGAAAAATTAAACATAAAACATAAAATAATTGCAAAATTATAATAAAATCAATTGATTAAAAAATTAAAAATTAAAAATTAAAAAATTTTAAATTAAAAATTTTCAAGTTTCTGATTTTTTCCTTTGTATTTACCTAACTACCTATCTGTATGCCAAATTTGAACTTTCTAGGTCATCTGGAACTGGGTTAGAATTTTGATCTATAGGTAAGTCAGTGATAAAAATGATGATTTTCGGACGTTAATATCTAAATAACGGTTTGAAGTGTGTTTATGAAATTTAGAGCACATATGTATCTCGTTAGTCTCAATATATGAGCCAAATTTGACATGTTTATGTGGAATAGTTTTTGAGTTATGAGGGGGTCAAAAGTGGCTCCAAATGGTTCGTGTAATATTACACACGGTGCTGCTCGCCAGTTCTGTTAGCTAGAACTTGGCTTGACACGCTTCCGCGTGTCTAGATATATACTTTGTAGTTTGTTCTAATATTGGTAATGCAATATTTATATATCTATAGGTTAACAAAATTAAAAATCAGAAGTCAGAACTACTTATTTTAACATGATTTTGTTTGAATGCAAATTATATTTATTTTAAATTTGTGAACTTCTGAAACTATTTGTTATATCCCTCTAAACATTTAGTAAAAAAAAATTGGATATCTGCTTTCATTTTGACTTGCGTCATTATTTCGGCTACATTTCAATATCCAGAATTTATACCAACTCACAACATCGCATAAACAGTTGTAGTTGTTAACTTGTAATTCGTATGCAATACTACCTACAGCAAATTAATTGTAAGTATTGGATAATTTTATTATAGTGTATGTTATTGTGTATTGTACTAAAATTTTACTGTGGTAAGTGCAGGTATGCGCGCCATTATATCATAGGTATTTCCTTGTATTGGTGATCGTCGTTATCGTCGCGACGTCGGCCTATTTCTGTATAACAAATAATTACAATTACAGCCGGCGGTCAAAAGTCGCTAGTCGCGACGGACACCTATATATTATTACGATAACATAACAATGTATAGAACAAAAATGTTGTATGTTATTTTGTATTTAATTTAACCCAGGCAGCTAAGTCCATTGAGATTAGGATTTACAATATATTATACAATAAAATATTATAAATCTTGTAAAATAAAAATTAGTTTTACAATTTATTTATTCATTTTAACGAGATAATGTAGTCATCAGGGCGTATATACAAGAGGGGTGATGTGGGGGTCAGACATAGCCGTCCCAAGGGGGGGGGGGCAAATGGGGCAAGTGCCCTAGGGCGGCTAAAGTATTATGAATGTAGGGGGCGTACTAAAAATGAATGATAAAAAGAAAAATTTGGGTGTTTTTATTTTAGGTATTTTTTTTCTGTTTATACTGTAATATGAATATCAAAGATGAGTACCTATCAAATTGTATACTATTAAATTTAAAATTATGTAAATAATGTGTTAAATCTTAATGCGACATAACTTCAATAATATATTCAGTATTCATAAAAACAAATAAAAATATTAATACTTATAACTTATAAGTTATAAGATTACAATAGTAATTTATTTACATAAAATATATTTTAAATATGTATACACATCAATAAAATAGTTAAGTAATATACTTATAAACTAAACTAATTCATATCTTTGCAGGTAGTACTAAATAATATCTTCACTTGAAAAAGATTTTTTTTTCAGGTTTTGTAATCGGCAAATTGAAGAAAATCGCAGTTTTTTAAGAAACTAAAGAAAAAAATTATCAACAAAGCGAGGTTCTTAATTGTTGTGTTTAATAATCCTCCTTTAATTTGCCTGGTAAAATATGGAAAAATGTCATCATTATTTTATATGTACTTATAGAATAATATTTCAATAATACATCAAATATCTATACTGACAGTGAAATTGTATTCATACATAAAAACATTAGAATAATGTGAATTTGATATTTGTTATCAAATAAGAAAATAGTAAAATATTAGTTAGGCTGGGGCCTGGGGCCCCTGCAGTCTATGGGCCTCAGTGATCAACAACC